GTCAATGGAACATCAGTCTCCAGTTGCTGACCTAAAAACAGACGTACTTGCAGCGGGGCCCAGATTCAATTATACAATGTACATAACAATTGTCACATGAACCGATGAGGAAATATCAATGTACAAACGTCATGACTTCGAGAAGCTTCGCAGTGAGCTAATTGGTGGAAGAGTTGATCATGCATACGCAAGGCGTACGAATGAATCGTGGGCTCTTTTTCACATTCCAGATTTAGTAGAAAGCCTCCTTGTGTGTGGACCCTGGGGATACCTTTGTGTAGCCGTCACGTGTTTTGGAAAGTTGATTATCTTGCTTCTTTGCTTCTATCAGTCGTTTTTCTTGAAGCTTAAGGTTGAGGATGAGAAGTCGATTATTAATTATGCGTTTCACTGCATGTGTTTGACCATCGAATACGGACGACTGGTCAACTCTACCACTTTGGTCGATCGGAAGTCCGTCTAAACCGTGAGTGAAGACGGGATCGCATCGTGAAGCTGAGTTTCAGTGGGCTGGCGTGCACAATGAAACATTCACCGTTAGTCAGAAATGTTTCGTCATACACTGATTAAACATGTTACATGAAGAATGAGTCAGTCGTCGGGATGGGCCTTTTTCTTAGATAAACCGAACGTACCAGACGGGGATAACGATCTATAAGCAAGATAGTGTGTCTGGGACGTGGGATCAGCATTATTTGACCAAAATAACTCACTAGGAATCCTTCCAAACGGTCATGCTTTCTTTTAGAGCGGAGAAATGTCTCCAGGTGAAACAGGAGCTCGAAGTCCGTGATTACGACACCCCTGGCTCACCTGAGCGGAGCCGCAGCGTATAATGCTACTTACCCAGCAAGGAAAAAGAGAGTAAAGCCGATGCCATTATCAGCTTAGTTTCTGCAGGTACTGCGGAGACTGCAATAATAGACAAACTTGATTGAACTTCGTTCTAATATGCTATAACATCTTGCCCTGGACACAAGATAGCATTTAATGATCGTTCCTAGCCACGCTCTGTGGTGTTTGTTCGCGGGACCAGCAACCTGAAAGAAATACATAGGATCGACAGTTTGTAAGACAGGGCTCTGTTTTAATGGCTTGAGGTTACAAAGTGCGCGAGTCCTCATCTCCCATCTCAATAAAAAGAGCAAGAAGGACACTGGCAGATCCCGATAAAATTTGCGAGTCTTGAAGCTTGAAGGCAAGGAAGTCTTCTGAAGTTCTGAATCCTGATGATGAAGTAGACGAAAACACGCTAGGACCGTCCAAGCAAACCGGCGGCGTAACCCACTTCCAGATAGGCAACCCCTGATGAAGGGGTTGACTTGTGTGTCACAATGCGCCTTTGGACCACCAATGATACTTGTGACATCACCGCAGTTCAGCGCTCAGCGCTCAGCAATGACTGCGCTCTCGGCGAGTTTACCCTAAGTCTTTGATTTACCCGTTGAAGTTCTGTACAACAGCCATCCCGTCACTCCGCAATGATCGTGCTCTCCGATTTACCTGTTGAAGTTATTCTGGATAACTTATTGCCTTGGCTTGCTACTCCAGATCTCATCCATCTTGGAAAAACGAATCGCTTCTTTGCGCGATTATGCAACGATGACACGTTCTGGAAGAGAAAGTTGCAAGAGGATTTCAATTTTACGGACGAGAAAACCGCCCGGATCACAGGATGGAAGCAAATCTATAGAGGCTTGAGTAACCCGAAGACTTTTGTATGGGGGTAAGCACTATCTTTTCATTACGCTTCCGCACAGCCAAATTGATTCATGTAGTGAGGTTTCGAGGGGAAGATTAGGACTGAAGAATATTCCAAATTCATCTATCAAAGATGTCCCATACCCAGTTGAGCTAAAGATTGGATCAGGCGCGCGTATTGTCACTCTTTCAGCTGCTGGAACGTATGTCATCTTCTCAGTGGTTTTGGCAAAACTACTCATATGACTTTGAAAGGGCATTCTTTGCACTAGACTCTGCTGGTAGCGTATACGTATGGGGTGAGTCTTCCAATATCTACAAGATACAGAGACTAATATCGCACTCAGGAACTTTGGGTGGCAACTCGTATGCTCTAGCCCGAGATGGGTACTCTCAGCCTGAGAAACCAGCTAAGACACCATTAAAGCTTGATATGCCTTCTCCTACGCGAAGCATTAGGTTAGACTATTCTCATGCATCGAGTAAAAAACTGACTCACATTTGTTAGTTGTGGACGGTATCATGCTACTACGCTGGACGATCAGCATCGCGTTTGGACTTTTTTAAGCTGGGGTCGTCCATTCAGGCTTGACAGCCCTGCGCTCGACGCGACCTCATTTGATTCTACTCCCGCGCAGATCCAGTCTGGCTGGCACTTTTCATCAGTTCTCACCAAATCTGGTGATGTATATATCTGGTGGCCATCCACTGCCCCACTAAAGGATGCGATCGATGCACAGAATGCGACTATGGATGCTGCGGGCTTGAAGGCTTATGCTACAGAGGAAGGCGTTATCCCTTGTTCGACATGGGAGCTTCAACAGGAACCCACGAGGTTACCACCGTTACCTCAACTTCCACAGCTGTCGTCATGGTCAGCAGAACCCGTGAAACTTGTCAAGATTGCAGCTTTAGAGAATCAACTCATCGGATTGACCAATCACGGCCACGTCCTCATGGTTTCCGTTGACAGTGTTCATCAGCTGGGCAGATGGGAATACGTAGGTTGATTTATTCGTGTGCAACAATTCATGGCTTATGCATTCTTAGCTTCCTAACTTCTCTGACGCTGAGAAGATTCAACAGCACCCTGCGTATGTTTCTTCTCAGTTGAAGCCGCCACAGAGTTTGCGGATAACTCATGTAATGATCTTGTTTGATTTCGAACATTCTATCATGCTGAAACGTCTTGCAGATCTCGGCGCAATTTCACACACTTGTTGCATATTCTCCCGGTATTAACTCTGTAGTTCTTCTGGGCTCTCATGAAACAAATGCCGAGTCGAAACCTTTAATTCTCCCCGCACTTCAGAACAACGATGTTATCTCCGTTGTTCTTGGAGATTACCATTACGGTGCTCTTACATCGACGGGGAAGCTTCTAACATGGGGGGCCTATTCTCGAGGAGCCCTCGGCCTAGGCGACCCTGGACGTATTCCACCAGGAATGCCAGGAGGCTATCCAACTGAAGAACTGCGAAGGGCTGCTGTCGCCAGTGGCGGTCCGTTTCCTCCGTCTGTATCCGAGCCCGCGGAAGTCAGCTTTGACCATGGCGAAGCCAGGAGGGGGAAGATGTTTTGTTTCGCTGTAACAGCTGCTGGGTGGCACATGGGAGCTCTCGTCATTGATTTAGAGGTGAGATTTTGGCTGATTTAAGTTTAATTTTTTCGACGCCTTCTGCTTACCGATGTCTCGATAAAAATAGCCAGACGCAAATGATCAAGATAACAACGAAGACGAAGGCCCTTCCATGCCTGGGCGGTTTCCTCGGCATCATGAATCCCATGGGTCCTCACACGACTACCCTCGTGATCCAAGTCAGTGGGGTCTACCTGGGATGCCTGCTTTTCGAATCGGGTTGGCAGGAAGGGGCGCTGTCAGAGGTGGACATCTAGGCCGGGGTCGTGGCTTTTGAGAGCAGCGACTTTATTGTGTTGGGTTTGTAAGAATAGATGAGATATATACAAGGCTGGTTATGGATACACGACTGTAACATGCAATGTTCCAATTCTGCTTTTTGATTACTGCATTTTGATGCTATCGCAACACTCCAGGGTTTGAAACATCAAAGCACACACTCCCATACTTTAAGTAGGACGACGTAAGTTACTGGTGTTTTTCCCTCGTCTGATACCCATTTTTATTCTTTCGAACCTAAACGAAAAGTCCATCCTCGTGGTCAGGTGACAAACGCTGTGAAAAGTCTTCTGAGTACCCACCATCGTGAACTGATGTTCATATCCGTAACGGAGTCCCGAGCAGGTATTAATCTGGATGGAATTCCAAGACACACTCGATCAACATGTCATCTCCAATCATTTTCTACGATATCCCTTCTACCCTGTCGGTAAATGCGTGGTCCCCAAACACCTGGAAGACCCGGTATGCGCTTTGTATAATGATCCAGGCATTAACTGACCTTCCTCACTATAGATATGCCCTGAACATCAAGGGTGTTCCATACGAAACGGTGTGGGTCGAGTACCCTGACATTGAAGCTCTCGCAAAGAAAATAGGGGCTCCCTCCACAGGCACCAAGGATGATGGCAGCCCATCATACACCCTCCCCATCATCAACGACCCAAACACAGGGAAGGTTGTCTCTGACTCCTTCCTTATCGCCGAATACCTCGACGCGACTTACCCCGGTGGAAACACCCTGTTCCCTCCTGGCACAAAGCCTTTGATCGCGGCATTCGAGGGGAGTGTTGTAGGAGCCATCGGTGGCATTCTCCCCCTCCAGCTCGCTCTCAGCTGCTACATCTTGAATCCTTCCAGTCAGAAGTACTTCAGAGCAACTAGAGAGGCCACGTTTGGCAAAAAGATTGAGGAGTTTTCTCCTGCCGGCGCCCATCGCGACGCTGACTGGGCAAAGGCCAAAGAGGGCCTTGTTGCGGTAGATGGTTGGTTCTCAAAGAATGGGGGAGGGAAGTTCGTCATGGGGGATTCTATCTCGTACGCAGATGGTGTCCTCGGAGGCTGGCTCGCCTGGGTCAAGATCATCAATGAAAGTAGCGCTGCATGGGAAGATCTTGCCGCCTGGCACGGAGGAAGGTGGAGCACCTACCTTACCAACTTACAACCCTTCGCAGCAGTTTTGTAATGATAGATACTATTTATGCTTAGCTTGAAGTACATAACTAGGACGCGACCTTGCTGTCGTAAAAATTGGAATGGTGAATGAATCGAAGTTGGAGTCAATGAGATCAACATCATCTAATTATAATACAGCGTAGTTGCCCCTGTGGTCACTATTTTGTTAAGGTTCCACCAATTTGCCAAAAAGAGGCAAAAGTAAGGGCCTGGCCGGGAATTGAACCCGGGACCTCCTCGAAATCAGCGACAACCCTAACAAGGAATCATACTACTAGACCACCAGGCCTTGGATGCACGAGATCTCGGGCGTCTCAAAACAGTGATAGATCGAATTATAGTGAGTGAATGAATGAATGAACGTAAAGGAAATATGGAACGCAGGAGTATGTAAGACTACGAGGAGGGTATGTAACTTAATTGAACTTGAAAATGTTTCGGAGGGGTGTTGTAAGGCGGTTCTTGGGTGCGTCGCCGTCCACTGAAATCCTGAGATCATTCTCGTTCATCGTCAACCATGACTTGGGAGTATGAGTGAGTACAGTTCGCCCGTTGTCCTTGGTGACATGACTGTGCCGGCCAATGGTGGAGGTTGCCGGTTTATCAAGCCCGGGTGCAAGTGGGATCTCGTGGCGGACATTGGTATCGACGCGCCTCAGAATGGGCACCTCAGATACATAACGTGGCTTGAGAATGGTACTTCTGGGAACTAGTTTGGACTTCATGATGCGCGGCTTCTTGATCGCGGGTGCCTGATCTCCCTTGGGCTTAGGTCCTGTCTCAGTTTCCGTATCAGAAGACTTATTTGCATCTGCTGCGGATAAAGGCACTATGAAGCTGTTCCTTAGTGGAGAAGGACGCTTTGTTGCCGTTGAAGACTCCTGTGCTGGCGCAACGAGTAGGCCCGTATCTTGATGGTGGCTGACGTTCTCGAATCGAACACTCTTGACCTTCTTCAAGATACCTCTTACACATGGAGGAATGGAAGGATCGATTAATACGGGACAAGAAGGGAGAGTGGTGCATGGTGGATCGTTAAGCGGCGCTGAAGAGACCCTCACGAAAGGAACTTCTGACCGGGGACGCGGTGAGGCGGAGCGAATTGGAATGCCGTAGCTGGAACAATGATCGCTCAGATAATTTTGCAGTCTGTCGGGTGCAATCTTGGACATGGACGAGGGTGGCGGAACGCCTGGCGTGTTATCGACAGGGCCGTGCAGATCCTTAGTAACGACAGCGAGGTCTTTCTCGAAGGTCCATTCATCATCAGTTGAGGATGATAGCTTCGACGTTACAGAATCCATGTCCAAATGCATAGATACAGCCTGCCATTCCTGGCTTTCGTAGGTCATAGGCGTGGAAATCCCGCTCCCAAGTGCGGCATATTGCGATCTGAGGCTCGATAGCATGCTATAATGGTCGGTGAAAAGCTCTTCATCGGGACTAAAAATTCCAGAATCGAATTTGGGTGACCAGACAGTTGGGGAGCTACGGAAAGGCGTGGGGAGATCAGGATACGTCATATTGTCCACTTCCTTTAATTGCAAGCAAGACACCTTCTTTCCCCTTCGAATAGCTATGGAAGGGATGGATCCGAGTTGTGGCAACGGCCGCGATGCATCGCGGCAGGTAGATGACAGCCGCTTTGTTCTCCTATCTGAACAAGGTTTGGGAATGGGACTGACTAAGGAGCATTGCGCCCGCTTCTCCTTTCGTTCGTAGATGAGTGCATTGGGTCCCGATTCAAGCGCGTGAACTGGCCATCGCTTGGACCCTGTCGGATGCTCGGAACGTTCTTTGAGAATGACGGTAGCCTCTCTATGATCCTGGATGCAGTGCTCAGAGTGAGGAGCGGTTACTTTGGAAGGACAAGGCCAATTCGCAAAATGTTGAGCCATCCGTGCGTGCGGGATCTTCCTAGTCCGTGACTGGATAGTTTCAGCTGAAATGATCGAGCCTTCAGAAATCCATTCCTGCCGTGGAACAGGTTTGTCGCTGGTCCAAGGAACGTGTCTTGGAGGACGATGAGGTGTTAGCTTCTCCTGCAGTCGCTGTTGTCAGCCAAAGCGAGGCAAGTAAACTTCAACTCACGATCCAGGTCTGCATGAAGAGTTGTTCTTTCATGACCAAGTTCATGCGTGGGATTGTTGGTGCAGAGAGAACATTGCGAGCGGCCTGTTCATCGGCGTGTATGTCTCCGAGAGAGATGACACCAGGGCGAACAGCAAATGATATTTGAGCTCGGTGGTCTTGGATGATAAAGATAGGTGGCCGGTGATCTTTGGGGAAGGGGGGCGCGTCTTCCAAGTTACATTCGTCGTCTGATGAAGTGTCTGTGAATGACAGCGAGGTAGTTAGCAACTCCAGATCTTCGAATGCGCCTGCTGGGGCGAGGACGGCAGCAATGTCGAGGGACGGCAGCGACCGCAAGAAAGATGGACGAGCCGAAGAATGAGGTGTATTGAAGGGCGTCGTGGAAGTCATCACAGCTTGTTGATGGCACAAAGCAAGCAATAAAATTATGAACGCAGATATACCAACCTGGGAGAAGAACGAGCAGCGGCTGACCGCGTTGTTTGACTCTCGGAAGTTCGGGAGGCTGACCACTCAGTGCAAGAGGCATACAGGACCTCCGAGTCTGACAAGGAACAACTGTCTTCTGAACTACGGGAGAGCTCCATAGCGCTAGGGTTGACTTGGGCGTAGGTAGTACCTCAATCATATAATTAAGACTGTGTACCTGTTGAAGGCTTCAACTCGTAGCTTTTCCACGGCTACTAGTGACTCTACCAAGCGCTCCTTCGTATTATCCTTAGTGCGATTCAAGTCACAGTCTCATCAATAAGCATACCGTACGAAATGTTGATTGATGCGTATTAAGTGTTCATTACTAATGAGTCATGCTATGACAGGATACGCTACTAGCTAGGTGGTGCACAGAATAAAGGAAATGGAGCAGTCAAAGGAAATTCAAGACATGCAGCTAGCGCTACCATTGAAACGATTCGCTAAATATTTAGCCACCCAAAATCTCGTTCCTCCCAAACGCGTTCGTCTGAGGCACCGACATCGCATCTGAGCGCGACCTCTTGAAAAAGGTTTTAAAAAATGTGATGCCAAAAAGTGGAGACACCGGCGACGTATTCGGTACGGAGTGCCAGCCAGATCGTCGCGGGGTGCCCATGGTGGGTGACCGAGGAGGACTGTGGTACCCTTCCGCGGGGTATGCGATGGGAGAGGTGGAACTGCCGACAAGAAATGATGGGCTCCTCTATATGACCGTCAACCGGGAGAACGTAACGAACAAAAAAAAAGGTAGCTACCATGGGATCGTATATATAACGAGCTGATTGCCGCCGACGCAAGACAGGAGTGCTGGTTGATGAGATAGCTGAACGGCTCGTTGTAGTACATAGGGGCTTCCACTGGAATCAATATGGATCAATTCCGTAAACATACCGACAAAGCATCAAAATTACCTCGGACACTCCAGAATCCATATCATTCACAGGTTCGGTCAGCATCCGCCCTTTACCTTTATCACGGCGCAACGCAGGTCGTCGAAGAAAATGGTCGTCAAAATCCTCCCCGTGCGCATGCAGACACGACGCAGGCGCGGTGCGAGCATCCGAGTCAAGTTCCCTTGAAGCTCTCCCGGGGTCCGTAAATTCCCGGATCTGACTGGCGAGTTCATCAAGTTCTTGGAGTATCGCGAGCATATCTGGAGGGAGGCCATGTTGTGGTTGGGAGGACGAGCACGGACTATCCAGCGAGCTTTCAATCCGTCCACCAGCTGCGGCAGCAGGCACGAAGCGGTCTTTCTGGAATGATGCGAGTTTGAAAGTTCTGCCAGAATGCTTGGAGACTAGGTCGGATACCGAAGAGTTTGGCGAATTAGGTGAACTGAGTGGGGATGTGTGAGAGCGCCGAGGGACGGTGAGCGTTGGCGCGTTGTGATGAATAGTACCACGGCGGTTTAGGGGAACACGCCGTGGTTTGATCACTTGGTTATGGTGATATAATGTCGCTGCATATGAGGATCCTGGACTGGGGGAAAGAGGGGAGGATGCGTTATCGACATTATGGTTGAAGACCATCGACAAGCTACGCTTTATCGAGAAGATATTGTCTTCCTCAGGAGACGTATCGTATTTCGAACCGCGAAAAACAAGCATGTCAACGTGTGCGGATGCTAACGTGTTATTATACGAGGGTGACAGGGCTAACTCGGATTTGGGATTAAGAGGGAGGGTGATGGGATTGACAAGATACTCGGCGTTCGCCCGGCGATGGCGCGAACGACGCTCGGGAAAGGCGACACTGTCGATAGCATGGAAAGGGGAACTGATGAAGGGGACACCCCGTTCGATGCTATGGCGTCCATCCTCCATTGACTGCGTGGACAAAGTGTTCCGCAAGTCTTCGAGGATGGGTCGGGGTTTTCTCCATGATCCCCAGCCAGACGAAGCTGGAGAGCCCGAGCGGTCGACGGGAGTCTGAGGGGCAAAAGATTTCCGAGGTGACATGGTGGGCGGCCAAGTGGACCGGAAGATCGCTACGAAGTCAGGCAAAAGGACCATAGTGTGGTCAGCCGCTTGATAGGTACTTACGAGTAACGATGGGGCTGAGGCTGACTAGGGGCTGATCTGCAGATAGGATGCCGGCGGTTGCTTACCGGGGTATTACATATACCGTTTCTGTCGATGACTTCAGAAAGCCTGCCATTTTTAGTAATCCTCAAAACCCGGCACTCAATGCAAATGCAAAACTGCTTCACCGCCCACCTCCTCCTCTCAAGGGATATTGTCCCCTTCGGGGTGACATACGAAAAATTGGAACGATACAGAGAAGATTAGCATGGCCCCTGCACAAGGATGACACGCTTTCCCGGAGTGGTAGACCTACGGGTCTCAATATTTATTTTGCTCCTTGCCCCGAAGACACATTTTTGCGTTGGCCTACGGAATTCCGTTTGGTAGCGAGTGCCCATAGGTAATCAAAGTTTCAAAACAGCATTGTTCTTATCCTAATAAATCGTTATTTTTCGCGGACACCCTCCCGGCCCTCATTGGTGCTGAGCCTGAGGGAGGGTGTCGCGCTCAACCTAAAAAGACTTTGTCACGGTTTCTTCCGGGATCACACAACAAGGAGCGAAGCCTGATTAAACAGCATTGTTTTTTCTTCTCAGTGTCTACACATACAATCTAGTTAAAACTTAACGAGTACACACAGAGGATCTCAACCTGCTTCTCAGGCATAACAAGATTTTACATATCACACGGACGAAAC